AAGAGGAAGATGGGAGGAAAAGCTTGAGATTTGAAGGCTATGGTGCATATAGCTTAGGTGTGATGATTGAAGAAGGGGGTTGATGGCTGCTGGGATGCTTGCAACTGTTGGTCGTAGCAAATCTCACGGCCTGGTGCTCCGGGCCGAGGGGATCCACGTCAACACGGGTCGTCCTTCTTTCGTGCAGTGCGATTGTGCGCGGGCATGCCAGCACGGTCTACCGTGCATTCGAGGATGATGTGAGTGGATGGATGGATGAGTTGCGCGCCTGTTTGAGTCTGACTTTTAATCAGAGCGATTGGTTCACGACCTGAGCTACAAGGCCGTTAATGGTAGTGTTAATGGTGGATTTTTAGGTGGTGCTCCGGTGCGTTGCTGGATTGCAACGGTCTTTCCTACAATCTGCCACTACTCCTAAGAAAGCAAGTAAAGGTATTGAAAGTGCATTACAGGAAGATTAATGACAAGAAAATATAATTTTCTCCATCGGAGGCTTGTGTTTGGTGTTAAACCCCTTGAATGTAGTTGGAGATTGGTATTTATAGAAGTGGCTCTGGGAAGAAAGTGAGGTTGATATCTGCATGACGTGGTCGATCAGAGATAGTGGGTAGTCTGGACAACATTTGGGAATGTGAAGTATGGTGACCCCCATAAATCTCGGTCGCCCCCCTGTTCTGGTCTGATGGTTGGTGACTCAGTCTCATAAGTCATAAGATTTCGCACCTAATCATTCTGATTTTACTCACCATACACTGACTCCAATCACTTCCTTCCTTCCTTTATACATTAAATGTAAATTCTCCTTTTGCACGGATCGTGGGTCCTCTGCTGCAATCAGGAGCATTATCTCATTAAATGAAGTGTGGGACCTCAATGGCACTTGGCAACGCCCCTTGACTTTTCCATTTTGGCCGTGTATTTGAGTGGTTCAAAGCTCACCGTGGTCGTGATGATTACGCCTTCATAGATCTCCCTCATTCTACGCGCAAGAGCGAATGACAACCTGACGCGTTCAGCTTTTGGGCAGGCGTCGTGGCCAAGAGGTTGTTCCTTTGGTCGGCCTTACAGGCCAAGATTTTTACGCACAAACAGCAACAGCCAAAGCAAGACGTTGTTGTGCTACTCTAGCACCTAAAGGAAGAGTCGATGGCTAAAGAAGGGGGTTGAAGACTACTGGAATGCTTGCAGCAGCTGAAGCAAGGTGAGTTCTCATGGTTGCTGGGAGGCTTGCAGCAACCAAGAGATGTTGGTCGATGACTACTGGGATGCTTGCAGCAGCCAAAGGATGGAGGTTGATGGTTGGGATGGCTGCTGGAATGCTTGTAGTAGCTGAAGGGAGGAAGGAAGATGAGTTCTCATGGTTGCTGGGAGGCTTGCAGCAACCAAGAGAGGGTTGATTTTGCGTAGACAATGCCTCCCAATTTATAAAGGGTGAGGGTTTTCCTTTATTTCCAATAGGTAAAGGGTGGTGCTGGAAGCAACCTATTTCCAATAGTTAAAAGGGAGCACTAGGGCATGCTATTTTCATCAGGTGAAGCTAGGTACCATAGACTGATTATTTCCTATGGGTAAAAGGAAGCGCTGGAAATGGCTTGTTTCCAGCGGGTAATAGGGAGTGTTGGAAAAGGCTTGTTTCCAATAAGTAAAGCTAGGTATTTGGAAAATGACTATTTTCTATGGGTAAAAGGAAGTGCTTGAAAAATATCTCATTTGCTCACCCACACCACAATTTTCTGTGGGCCTTGTGGACCTCCGTAACCTTCCACACCACGATCCCTCGTGCAAGCCCCGTAAACCACATGACTTGGGTTCATATAGCTGGATAGGTGATTGACATATGAAAAATGTATTATTGGCTTCGCATGGCATGAAAACTATTATTTACTTAATGAATTAATTCCTAAAATACAGGTTGGATTAACACATGACCAACATTATATGTTATATTGGGCTTTCAATGTCTTTGGGCTTCTCGTGACTTTTTTGGGCCTCAACACCAAGAAATCGAGATAGAAATCCAAATGGCCAAGTTGCGAAATTGGTACACTCAAAGCTTCCAACAGCAGGGAATACGACGCAGGCTTCCGACACCTTCCCCTACCTGTGCCAGAGATGTATACACCTACATAGAAAAAGCATATCGTGCAAAGTTCAGCCTTTTTCACCAACACAAAGAGGGCCAACACATGATAAAAAGGGGAAAGGAAAATGAAGAAAAGAAAAGGGAGTAATCCATACCAGGGATTTCTTCACACAAATTTCAGCGCTCTTCCAGCAGCTTGCAAAAGAAAGAAATCAGAAAGAAGAGAACCTCGTGTTTGTGCCTGATAAATCACGGCCATGAGCTGGCCGAAGGAGCCCTTTCTCTCGGCCCTGGCACTTGTTCGCAGAGGCTGAAATGCAGCGTTTCGCCAGGGCATTCCGCCTTCCTTAAAAATAAAAGAGGAAGTGCTAAGGCATGATCATCTCGGCCTCAAGCATAGGCCGAGGCCGAGGCCGAACAAATTTGCGGCCAAGGCATTAAAGGCAAATCATCACGTGACAGCAGGGTCCCAGGCTTCATTTAATGAAGTAGTGCCTGTTTAATGCAGCGAGCCCATTGGCCACAAAGTAACATTTAATGCATGAGGGAAGGTGGGAAGTGACTGAAGTCAGGATTTGGTGATGAAGATCAGAGTGATTAAACGTGGACATTCTCACAGGGATTCTGACAGCTTGAGATGTTGGTTCACCAGCTATCCAGGCCATAAATGCGTCTCCACGGCCAGAGGTTCAGAACCCACGATCGAGAGCGGCGGCCGAGATTCACCGGGATTTCTGGAGTCTCACCACCATACTTCACGATCCCAAATGTCGATTGGACTGCCCACTTGCGCTAATCAGACTCACCTCGATTACTCATCCAGGAACTCTTCCTATAAATATAAGACTCGAGCTACATTCAAAGGGTTCAAACACCAAAACAAGCCTCCCACGGAGCAACTTATTTTCTTCTGTAATGCACTTTCAATATCTTTACTTGCTTTCCTAGGAGTAGTGTTAGGTTGTAAGCAGAATCCATTCATCAATATATCATACGACCCTTGATTTTCAAGGCGCCGGAGCACCATCCTTGTTGTTCGTTCACTCACCCCATATATCACACGACCGTCGCTCCCTGAGCAGCGCGCCGGAGCACCGCCCAAAACCCACCATCAACACCATCACTCGACGGCCTTGTAGTTCATGCCGTGAACCTAACAGCCGAGACCAGTTCCTCTCTCGGCTACAATCGTTTGACTAGGAAGACAGATCAAACAGGCGCACCATTCATCCATCCAACACTCATCAAAACATCAAACGCACGGTAAACCGTGCTGGCACGCCCGAGCACAACCGCACCGCACCCAAAAGCAGGAAACCCTGTGTTAACGCACATCCCCTCGGCCCGTAACTCCAGGCCGTGAGATTTGCGCGGCAGACACTTTTGGCACGCCCGGTGGGACCTCTGTCAAAAACTTATGGTGGAAACTAGGGCACAGGCAAAGCTCAAAAACAAAGCAGTCGAAATGACTTCTGAGACCCCTGAGTCCACCTCACCAATCACAAGTATCGAGACCGAACATACGGTCGGGATCTCGGCCGGCGCTCCAGTAACGACGGATCGCATGGCCGAATCCATGCAGGAACAGGCAGTGGTGGAGGAACTGATGTCCAAGCAGGCCTACAGGATAGAAACATCCTTCATGGCCGCGATGGACAGGTTCTCCTCAGAACTGCGAACGCTCTTTCAAGAGAGGATGCCGATGGCCTCACCTGCCACACCTCCCAGAACCGGACCGAGGAGCCAAGAGCGCGATAGAATCGAGCCTTATGGTGAAAGCAGCAGCCTCGGCGTCTCGGCCCATACCCAAGCATCCGGCTACGGCCAGCAATCTCTGCCACCAACAAACAGCTGGGGGCAATCCCAGCCCGTTTGGACGAATTCCGAACCAACCTACTCGGCGGAGACAGCGCGCGGACCGCTCCATGCTTTGGCCGTATCACTAGGGCACGGCAGTTTCACACATCCCGCGGTCCACCCGCTCGGCTCAGTTTATACTGCCGCCGTCCACACCCATCCTGGCCCAAGCAACGCATCCGCAGTAACGCCACAACAGTACGGTCAGGGGAGCCTGACCGTCTCACCACCTTTGCAGGCGTCGTCGTGTCCGTTGGGCTCTCACCTTCACTATGGATCGGCCGTCCCAGCAACAACGCATATGCACGCTGGTCAAACCTCACCCTGGTCAAACCCACGGTGCTCATCTAGCATCGACCAGCTCGGTCATCCCGGCCGAGCCTTTTGTTCAAATGGCCCAGTAGGCAAGGCCTCAGAACGAGGTGCTATAGGCCATGCGGCCGTTTGCAGCCCAACAAGAGGCACCACCTCAAGGGATCCGGCTCGAAGATGTCCGGCGGATGATCGAAGATGGCTTAGCTCAGAGGCGGCCGGACATGCCAAGATACACGAGGCCGTATCCGCCAGAATTTGACCGAACCCTCCTCCCCCGGAACTATCGATTGCCAGAGTTCATGCTTTTCTCTGAGGATGGGCAGACCTCGTCCATTGAACACATCGGCCGTTTCACGGCCCAGTGTGGGGAGGCCGATTCAGACGCTCAGAGACTCCGACTTTTTGTTCATTCGTTGACCGGCGCAGCGTTTTCATGGTTTATTAACCTTCCGCCGAACTGAATAAGGGATTGGTCTGATATGGAAAGGGTGTTCCACGAACATTTCTACCAGACCAACCGAGAAATAACGGTCGCCGAATTGGCGAGAATGAGCCAAGCATCGGACGAATCACCTCACGATTACCTACAGCGGTTCAAGACATGTAGGAATTGGTGCCGCACGAACTTACTAGAGAGGGAGTTCGTCAAACAAGCCGCACAAAGATCCCCGACGCCAAGTTCGCGACCCGGGAAACGAAGGCATACACGTTTGATTCAACAAGGGCCGAAGCTATCTTCGACCTGATGGTGGCCGAGAAGAAGGTAAAATTATCCTTCGGCCATAAGACTCCGAAGCCCGAAGAGCTCAAAGGAAAAACGTTTTGCAAGTACCACAGTTCTTGGTCTCACAACACCAACAACTGCGTTGTCTTGCGAGACGTTATCCAGAAATTGATAGACGAGAAGAAGCTCCAGTTTCCGGAGAAGGCGGCCATGCAGGTCGACTCCAAGCCTGACAACAGCCGCACAAAGATCCCCGACGCCAAGTTCGCGACCCGGGAAATGAAGGCATACACGTTTGATTTAACAAGGGCCGAAGCTATCTTCGACCTGTTGGTGGCCGAGAAGAAGGTAAAATTGTCTTTCAGCCATAAGACTCCGAAGCCCGAAGAGCTCAAAGGAAAAACGTTTTGCAAGTACCACAGTTCTTGGTCTCATAACACCAACAACTGCGTTGTCTTGCGAGACGTTATCCAGAAATTGATAGACGAGAAGAAGCTCCAGTTTCCGGAGAAGGCGGCCATGCAGGTCGACTCCAAGCC